TCAAAAGCCTTACTAAAGTCACAATAAAGACTACCCAATGCTCTCTCCCTGTTCACTGAGGTGGTCATTTCATCACAGAAGGCTATCAGTTTGGCAGGGCATGATTTCACCTTTTTAAATCCATGCTGGCCACTCTTAACCACCTCTTGTCCTTAATATGTTTGCAGATGGCTTCCAGGAGGATTTACTCCATCACCTTCCCAGGGTTCAAGGTGACTGGCCTGTAGTGCCTGGATCCTCTTCTTGTATTTGTTGAAGTTAAGCAAGATAGGAGTGACTCTAACTTCCTGCCACTTTCCCCAATCTCTATGACCTTTCAAGCATAACAAAGAGTGGTCTCACAATGACATGAGCCAGCTCCTGCAGCACTCATTGATGCAGCCCATCAGATCCTATCATCTGTCTGTTCATTCAGTCCTGCATCTGCTCCACGGAAATATGATGCACAAGAGACTGTGGCATACATCCCCCACAAGGGGGGATTAGAGTGTAGAGAACCACCCCCAAGATCCTCTCCTACCTGTAGCCAGATGCAGAAATTATTTTTGGTTTTTTCAAACTGATCTCTGAAATCCCTTCCAGTCTCTCATCTCCTACTGACCTTCTAGCCTCTCCACCAAGCTTCCTGTTCCTTCTGAAGTTGGAAAAAAAGAATAAGATTGGTAGCTTTACTATCTTTGGAAATTGCTTTTAAAAGTGTTTTCTATAGCCTTATGTTGCTTTCATATTTAATTTATGAGACTTCATGTGCCTACCTAATTTTCCCTCTAGACATAGAATTCACTCTTTGAAGAGGACTGTCTTACTTATCCTACCTCTACCAACATACTGGAGAGCCCCAGCAGTTGCTATTTGTCTCCTTCATTGCAGACAAATTTAAAGGTCAAGAACTGGGCTTGAGCTGTAATGGTCAGGTGCAGCTGAAGCAACTGCCTCCCATAGTCTTCTCTTCTGGATGATGCCAATTCATCTGAGTTCCAGGCACATTTGCCAAGAAGATACTAGAGAGACCACAAGCCAAATGCACACAGGGATTGGTTACAAATATTTGAGAGAGATGATCTTGAAGTACATATGAATGTCCACAGTGCTGTGTTCACAAATGGCATATCCACACAGAGCACGTGGAGAGCTTTGGTGTTCCTCTTCTCTCCTGCTGAGGGCAAACCAGTCCTAGGCAGGTCTCAGCTCCCAACAGACACGATTAAGGTGGGTAACTGCACTTTCCCCCAGGAAGGGCTCTTAACCCACTTTGCACCACAGCCTTCCTGGACTACACACTTTGGGAGGAGGGAGAGGAAACAAGGGGGAAAACAGGAGGGAAAAGAGCCCCACAGAGCATTACTACTTACTGTGCATCCTAGATCTCCCCAACACAAGAGCTCCTGGCATAGAAGAGCTCTCAGCCAGCACAGAGAAAACCATCATTGTTCAGTCTCTTCCCAGGAGGCCAGGTCCAGGATTACCCCAGAGATCCTTCCTGTTGCACAGTCCAGTTCTGCACCTCCAACATCCACCTCTGGCTTCTCTCCTTGAAGTACTGCACACCTATGTACCAGCTAACCTTCATAAGCTCAAGGACAAAGGAGGCAGGGCAAGAAACAGCTAATGCCTCCTCACCAGTTCCCAGCATCCCTGACTGCTTATCAGCAATGAAGAAAGCACAGGCGACTATTACACATCTCAAGGGAAAACTGTTTCCCTGGGTCTTGACTCAAGATGTCACCATAAAACTCCTCTGCACACCAGACACTGCCAGTTCTTTCAGTCTCTCAAATGCTCCCCTGGACTCCAGGGTCTTTAGATCAGGCTCTGAGAGATAGGTGGGGAAGTGAATGGGTGCAGCACAACCTTTCCACTCATAGGTCTACAAGAGCACAGTCACTGTCACTATTAAGGGAAGCTGTAACATATCACCAAGAGGAAAAAGCATCACAATTTCTCATGAAGTTTTCTATTCCATAACACCCAGATCTTCAGAATGAGACTAAAATGCCTTGGTTTACATTGATTGCAGGTCACGAATGATGGGGCAATACCTGATTGGATTAGGAATCAGTACCACATGCTATGCTTTCTTCTGTTCCTGCTGCTCAGGTCCCAAAGATGGTAAGATGGAATGTAGTCATGGTCTGCAGAGCCTTCTTTTCACATGTACTTGTGCTCAACTTGTCTCATGTTCATTCCACACTCCGAATTTTAGTGAGTCACTTTAGGACACGATGTTAAAATGCTTTTCTGCATAATAACCAGCAGACTGCTCAGACCTACCACCAACACCTTGCAGAATAAAATGGAACATCTTTGCAGAGAGAAGTAATAGTAGAAACTGTATTTATTTTTCTTTCACAAGACAAAGGGAAGGAGGCCAAAGGCTGCTTTGGTTTTATTCTATCCTTATCAAATCTCAGAACATTGACTACAGGGTAAAAAAAAAAACAATAAGAAAAACAAGAACAATAAAAACCACTCCACTTATCAAAAAAGGCACTTTCCTAGAATAAACAGTGGTACATTATGCCAGATATTCATCACAGTGGTCCCCAAACACATCCATAATCATGTTCATGGTATTGCCACAGCAGAGTCCTCTGCCATGCCTTTGTGATCACCAAGCATCATTTTACCATCTCTGGTAGTGGTTCCTAGCTCACCAAGATTTTTGTCATGTTGCTCAAAGGGCCCAAACCAGAGGGAACCAGGACAAGGGAAAACCATGCCTCACTGACCACACACTAGGCCAGGGCTGGCAATTTGGCAGTTGCTTCTAAAGGAATCAGTGAAAAAAAATGCATAGACTAGTGATAGTGAAAGCAGCAAGTGAAAACAGCACCCATTTATACCACTTAGTGTGTTGAAGAATGCTTATGCAGTCAGAAATATCTGCTGTGTCCTTACAAAATCTTTCTTCATAAGGATGTTCAGTGTTAGGAGAGCTGCAGACATTCAAAATCCTGATTGCCCACAGGATATACCATAAAGCTGGGCAGGACAAAGGGGCAGCACTCCAGGCACACGTACAATGTGGTGTCAGCTGCTGGAGGGATGTTTACAGCACCTTTTTCACTCCAGAGTAGCTACTTGTGCACAGACCTCATACCTGCCCAACTCCCAGGCAGTTAGCTTTCCATCAGAGCAGCACTGGCCTCCCATCAACACTGTGTAGCTCAGCTTTAAAAACAAAAAAGTCCCCAAAAACACCCCAACCCAACAATCAAAAGGTTCACACCTTCCTTAAGGTCACACAGCCATGTTCCCTGAGTGACTAGGAACTGTTCTGTAGAAGTGATGAGCAGTTTCTCACTTTTACCATCAGAGACAAACTGGAATGTTACATGCACAGTCTTTCACACTTTTGACCATTGCCTTGGCTGAACTGAGCAAATTCCACATTGTTTATGGCTGAGCTGGGAAACAGACGAGGCCTCAGACAACTGCAGATCTAGAAATCATTGGAGTCATACTCAGAGGACTTGCAGAAATCACCATGTGAAAGAGCTGCCACTTTGGGGCCAAGTGACATTGAAGATCTGACCAACTAGTAACCATCAAGGCGACCACTGGCCCACCCCACTGCTGTTCTAGGTCTAAGAAGAGGAAGCATACTGGAAACAGATTTTTGCAGTGAGAATAATCTTAGTAGTGTAGGAGAGAGGCTGGCAAATGCTCTGCATTAGCCCTGTTGTAGTGCCACACATTTGTCTCTGCAGTCCCCTTTATATTGTGGAGGGGACCAGGTGTAAAGTGCTGATAGTCTTGACCTTATTCTTGTTTCTCACTGCTCTTTCTCCATTATTTTCTGACAAGAACTGTAAGATGATCCTTTTGGCCATCAAGGCAAGGGACAAGTTTTGTCCCACAGTTTATCCAACATACTTGGCTTTGTGGTGGGAACCTTCAAGGGCACCTTGTGAGAGATATGTTAACTTTCTCCACTGTAATTCAGGAAGTCAGAGAGAAAAGACTTCCACTGCCCTCCTCAAGACCTCCTAGGAGAAATCTGTACTCCTGGACAGTGAGTTAAAGGAGTACTCCAGGCTACTTGAAAAGGTTCATAATAAATGACTCAGAAACAGACCTGAACTTAGTACAGGTTCCCTACCAAGCTCTCTGGATGTAACCTTGGAAATATCATGCCTTTCCTTTAGGATTCATCCAGGTGCTGGAAGATTCAGTGCATCTTAGACACAGTTATAGGTATTTCATCACAAACTCAGTGCAAAAGATAGTTTGGCTCTTCCTTGTGTCAGGTGCAATTTGAAGTGTGATTTGGATGAGCTCTCCTGCTCATCACAGAGTGATAATTTGCCACTACTGTAAAATAAACCACTGCTGTGCAAGAGTTCCTTCTAAATGGTGAGCTGGCCTCAGATCCTCATTTTCTGATTCACACCAAATCTTTAGATCCATGACATTGAACAGAGACTGCAGCATCCTGCTCCCTGCTCAAACCAGACAAAGTCTCTGCCACCAAAGGCTACAAAAAAGAAGAAAAAAGTTGCTTTAGCCCTTTCTTCCTTCTGTTTTCTTTCATATTTTTCTCAGGACAACTCCACTAGCACATCCTGAACCTCCTCTTCAGTTCCTGTTCGTTGCTCTCCCATCCTTTTGCTTTGTTGAGGACTGCAGTTCAGAAGCACTGAGGATCAGGCAATGGGATATACATTTCTACAAAGCCTCTTCCAGGTTTACAGCCACAGAAAGGGGCCTTACTCCTCTGAAAGGCTGATGGAGACTGCCACAAGTGGCCCAGCCCTTGATGCCCTCCTGAGATTTCTCTGCCTAACCAAAGCAGAAGTAAGGTCCTGTAGAGAAATAAAATGTTGCTGTTAGGCAGCCCAAGTCAAGATGAAGAGCTGCACAGAAATCAGCTGAAATCAGCTCCACAAATGGCTTTTATCCTCAACTCTCACCACCTCAATTCAAAAGAAGGTACATTTGTGATGGAACAGCTGGAGAGTTGCAGGCTCATGGACAACAACTCTTAGCTGACACTTGAGTCACTGCCTTTCAGAGTCTTTTTTCATGACATCGTATGTGGCAGGGCAGAAATGAGAATGCAGCTGAGCCAGCAAAGCCTGGGATGTGATCTCTAGCCTTGTCCCTTGGCTCAGTTTGTTCCATACATGAACTGCATAGGTGTTATTAAAGAGGTGCTGAAGCTCCGAGGAGCTGATCACCTCAAAATATTTCTTCCAGTCCTGCCACCGAATGGGATAGAAAGCCTCACGGGGCAGAGCACTCACTCCTTTGCAGCTCGTACTGCTACGAAGGCTCCTGATGGAGCACCACTTCTTGAAGACACGTGTAAGGAGCTGTGGGCCTTGGTGCCCCCAGATCCAGCTGTTGTAGTTCTCCACAAAGTCCTTCATGCAAAGCTCCATGAATTCGTGTTTCGGCTTAAAGGACAGAAAGGCCCCATTCAGTACGTACTTGGACTGGGTACCAAGCACATTGGTCAGGTTCTTTAAGTTCTTAAGCACAATGAAGTCTGTGTCCAGGTAGATGCCACCAAATTTCCACATGATGACAATTCTGCAGGCATCAGACAGGACGGGTAAGAAATAAGGCTCCCAGCGCTGCTGAGCCTCCAAGTACCACTTTGCCAGAGGTGTTCCAGAAAAAAGCTCTGCCAAGTCCAAGGGCCGGATTTCCACGTTGGGGAAGCAGCTCAGCAATGAGAAGCCCCAGTGGTTGGGTAACGAGGCATTCCCATCTGCCAAACCTTTCATGAGCACCACGACCCTTGTCCCAGGGTGCGCCCGGGCTGCCGACTCCACAGAGCACATGAACAGGTAACTTGGGTTAGTTCGCTCCGAGGTCTCCACAAAAAACACATCTCCTGAGGAAGAAGGGGCCCCACCAACAAGGGTTGGGCAACAGGGTGGAGAAGGCACAGACTGAGTACAGCGGATTTCAACAGGAAAGCTGTAGACCTGGTCTCTGTTCTTCGGGTCCTCCGAAATTCTCCAGTACAACATGATGGAGGTAAAGGACATTAACTTAAGGGCAAGGATAAAGAGAGCCCTGAGCCTGTGGTTCAGCACCACCTTGGTCACTCTTCGTAGGCAGCTGGGCATCCTGAGCATTCTTGCTCCTGTCAGAGCCTGCTCTCCAAGACAACCGTCATGATCTGAAGGGGAAGAAAGAAGAAACATATTTATGGGGATGGCAATAGACCACACACCTCAGGACTGTACCACTGCACAGCCCCATGCTGAAAATTCCTTCATGCCAGCATGCTTGAATTACACCTTGAAGTCATCTTCCAAAAAGCTCCCGGCTTGTTCCATGCCACCACTGTGCCCCATGAGAAACAACAGCACACGTTCAGGTTGTGGGGTTGTGTGACAAAGCTCACCTGCACACACACAAGAAGCTCAAAGGGACAATGGCAGGAGGGGAAGCCCAAATACACCCTGCCAGGCCCATCAGAGGGTCCACCACCCACCAAAGGCCCACCTGCCCAAGCCCAGAGAAGCACAGGAACACAAGGGCAAGTGGGATCCCAGATCAAGGCCTCTGGAGGAACCAGCACCTTCTCTGGACCCCTCCCAGGGTTGTCCCCGTGTCAGGCATGAAACCCATCACTGGGGTCACCAGAAGCAGCTCCCCAGACTGTTCTTTGGACTAAGGGAGTCACTGCCTAGGGGTGGGATACGTGATGGGGTGGAGGGGAAGACCAGTTTGGAATTACACAGGACTTACTATGAGATATTTAGCAAAGGAACCAAAAGGTGGGGCAAGGGGGGAGTTTAGGTGATTTTAGAGGAACAGAAGTGGGAAAGTAGAGGTGCAAGGGGATAACAAGGGCCAGATGCAGGTCAGGATAATTGTCTGGCCATGCCCTGGGCCCCTTCAGTGCAGTCTTGCTTGTCAAGAGCAGCATGTTGGGACAGCTGCTTCTGAAGTGCTTCATTTACCCAGAAGAGAACCACCTGCCAGACTTTCCCAAAGCTGAGAACTCATCTGAAACCCCAGTGCTACTTTCTGTTCCTGCCAAGACATCTCAGCTCCCAGAATCAAAGAATGGTACTTGTTTATTCCTTGATAACCACCCTGTGTCCCCTGGTTGCTACAAAGCTCCACAACACAGTGGTGTCTATTATGTTCCTTCACATGGCATCTCTAGCCTTGACAATCCTCTCCATTTTATATTTCAGCCTCTAAACTTGAACTACTTAACTTTCCTTCACTGAAAACAATGCTTTTTAGCATTTAAAACCACACTTTGTGAACGAGAATTGAACATGACGACTATTCAGTACAGCAGTTGTCTTTGATAGGCACATTCTGCTCTCTTCCCACCTATTCTGCCCACAGAACAAGACCTTCCTTAGCAATATGTTCAGAAGTAGGAGGACACCCATATACCCTCCTGGCAGGCAGCTGAGCTGGGATACATGGTGCTATTTCTGCTTTTACAAGCCTAGTGTGACTCTCCTGGACAGCCCCCAGATTTAGATCTCTGAAATTCAAAGTGTAGGCTTAACCATGAGGTACATTGCCACAGCTGGAAGAGCAGAGATAAGTTTATCTCCCAGAAAGTCAAACAGTTTTTAACAGTCTGAAATAAGGTGTGTCAATGCCCAGTCTAACTGAAGGGCACTGTCATCAGTGTGCTAACGCCTGCCCCAAAGCCTGCAGAGTCAAAGCAGTGCCAAGCTCTTAATAAGGAAAAAAAAAAGTCAAGTTTCACATGGAATATGCTTTTTAAAAGAAAAGAAAAAATGTCTGAAAGACACAAAACTCTAGTGTCTTGCCTGCTTTTATCCCCACTTCCCTTTTAAAGTTCAAGTTAAACAGAAATAAAATCAATACAATCCAAGAGTGAAAACAGAAGTTTTATGTGACAAACAAAAATGTGCAGACTGTAATAAATTATGCCTGCTACAGATAGTTACAGGTCAGCTTAATAATAGAGTATGTTTCCATTGCAAATGAATCATTCTTCAGTTGAAAAAAAAAGAAAAATATCCACTGATGTATGGTTTTTTATTTCTCAATTTTTTTGTCCTCTATTTGAACAAAAGCCTTAGCATCCTATGCTTTTTCAAAATGCCTGCAGTCTTGCAGAGAGACTACACTGGAGCATTTCCACCCTACCTGCAGACAATGACATCATCTGGCCAGTGGCACCGAGCACTGGTGTGCCTGGGGAGAGCCACACCACCAAGAGCTGCTCTTCTCCTCCATTCCCTCTGCTTGCCTACAGACTCTTACCAGGCTAACACACACTTTCTTTTCATATAGTTGCATGAAATAGCAAGACCCTGCCACCTCTCCTCCCTCTGTTCTCTCCACTTGTGTAAAATTACTGCTCAACTAGTAGTACTGCCCCAGCAAAGAGCTTTTGGGGAGCAGGAGTGGGGGAGAAGAGATGGCTCTGCAACTCCACCCTGCAGAAACAGCACAGCAACAGCAAGTTTACTCCAGCTGTGCCCCACAATGAAGCTCTGCAAGTAAAAGCACATCTGTTGTATGGCTTTTGTGCACACAACTTGTTCAAAGATACCTGAGCACCTGCAAGTGGTTGATGCTGGCCCTGCTTGGGAAAAAAGTGCTGACACAGCAATACAGGGGGGTATGCCAGTCTCACACACAGAGAGCAGAAACTCCACCTGGATTCCATCCATATGGGGTTTGTACTGTTTGGCCATGTCACTGCTAAACCACTTCACATCCTGGCATAATGAATATACTGCCATAGGCAAAATGGTCTCAACTTGGGGGATTTAATTTCTTATAAATGAACAAACTTTTGATTACTGATTCAGGTATTGATGGGTAAAAAAAACAAAACCAAAAAAATATGGCCAACCAACAATTAAACACTTCTCCTCCCCTCCTTCCTAGTCTCAACTTCCCTTGTTTTCTCTGGGGGTTACACTCAGTCTGTCCCAATTCCTTTGGTGATGCAAGAGGCAGCACAGGAGGCTATGAGTCAGTGTGTAACAGTTTCTTTTGGCTGCTCTTTTTCCATCTCACTTTTCCCCCACACTGCTCCTGGCTTCTTAACTGCACCTCTGCTTCCAGCATAAGTCCTCCACAACCTGCAATCCCTTGCTGTATACCTGTCCTGGCACACGTTCTCCATGGGCACAGTGCTTCAGGGCTCTTGCTGTTCTGGCATGGGTCCTCCCCAGGCTGCAGATGCTCAGGGGTGCCCCTGCTCCAGCATGGGTTGCAGTCCCTCAGGAGTAGCTCCTCCAGCACGGAGCACCTCCTTCCAAGAGAGCGTTTCCAAGCCACATGCCCAGCAATTTCCCCTTCTGCATGCTTCCTCCACTTCTTCCTCCCTTTAGACAGACGTTTCTTTGCTTATCTCCTCACACCTCCATTTGCACATCCTCCTAAATCTCCTCACATCTTTGCTTTCGAATCTCCTTTTGCCCTCACACATCCTTTTTGGCTTCCTGTCTCATGTTACCTTTTCACATCCTCTTTTTTGTGACTTCTCACGTCTCCTTTTTTGAATCCTCACGTGTTCTCCCCAATTTGTTCTCATGCAGGTCCTTCTGAGCCTCCACACATGCCTCCTTCCACGTCTCCTTTCTGTGACTCACCTCCCCAGCAGCTACCACTTCCTTAAATGCATTCAAGCAGAGGCACCGTGTGCTGCTCTGACCAGCTGCAGTTTTAGTGTGAAATGGGCTGTTTCCCTCTGCTTTGGAGCTGGCTGGAACTGCAACAGGGCTGCTCATAGCCTGTTTTCACACAGGTCACCTCTGCAGCCCCCAGCTCCCCAGGCTGCACTTAAGAGAACACCTGTAATGTTTAAATAGAGAGAAGTCCCTAGTTTTTCTTTTCCTGCAAGGGTGGAATCTGGATTTGGATGTTAGATTACCAACTAGGAAACAGTTTTTCAGTACTTGGTGCAAACCAAAAGGGTTATAAAACACTTTAGGTGTCCAAGGTTACTGACATCCTGAATGACTTACATATTGATTTCCCTTTGTGGTAACATCTGCTTCCAAAAGTTCCTGGTACCATTTTTTAAAAGTTCTTTAAACAAAGAAAGAAAATTAATGACTCTAAGTGTCATGTCATCATTTACCTAGTTGCAATGCAAAGGGCTTGCCAACAATTTATTGATGGTTTCATGTTCCAGGCAAATTATCTTATAATTTGTTCAAGTCTGTCAGTTTAACTGAAACATCTCCTTAGCACATGCTTCTTTTCTCAATGACTTTCTACCAGTTAAACCAGAAGGCAACTGGTAGAAAGAATGTAACCCAGCACTGCCACCCACCTGTACACCCTTCTTCAGAAAGCAAGGCTAAGGTGTTGCAGCTAAACCAAACTAAGGAGAAATGTCCAACAAAAGGCAGATCTCAGGTATCTGAGGCTGAAAATTTTGCCTACAAAATAAATATGAAGCTGTTCTGATGACTTAGCTTCCACAGAACAGCCCAGCTGAAGCACAGTTCTAACAGAGAGCAGTTAGGAACTCACTACTGCTCCCCCAACGCTTCTCCCTCGTCAACAGCAAGGAAATACAAACGTCCCAGTTTGATTTCTTTAGAAGGTACTCAGAAGCTGAAGAGGAAAGAAATATGTCAGGCAGTAAAGAGCTGCAGCAGATGACAACAGCTGTCTCAGCAGCACCAGCGGAAGCACCAGGGAAGCCACAGGCTGCTTGAGGGCACTGTAAGCACATCTGGTGCTAGACCAAAAGCTCCATTTCTTCCTGTCATGTCTGCTGAAGCCTTATCTGAAGCTACAAGATAGCTGATGGTGATACACCACTGAAGTCCCATCTAGCAATTTTGATGAAGCAAAGCAAGAGGAAACGACTGCCACACCAATGCAAACACGCTGCTGCATCTGCTAAAACTGAACTCATGTTTTTAATTTCGACATGCTTTTTGTCTAAAAAGCAAAGCACGCATTAATAAGCTCTGAGCAATGGAGTTTCCTGACCTTCTCTGAAAGAGGCATTTTAGGACTTTGCTGGAACGACACAGAAATGACTTGGCAGCAAACTGATACCACAGCAGCAAGAATCAAGAGCTGCACTCCCCCCACAGACACCAGGCTGCCCGTTCTCACGAAGCAGAGGACAGATCTGTTGGGTTCATTTACTGTGGTGCACACACCAAGGATTAAACTTGTTTGTTCTTTTACAGTACCTCTAGCAGAGCACTTTCTGTGCAGGACAGTGTGCTGCATCCCAGCACCAGTTACAACATCTGTTCCACAAAGCAGCCTCCACTGGCTGCCAGACAACTCCTATTTCAGCCCTGATGGTTACTTAATCAGGGCTGAAGCAAGATGCTGTAGGCTCAGCAAGACACAGAGAAAGCCATTCCAGAGTTTCCTCAAGGCAGACAGTGCTGCAGTTCACTGAAGGTGATATAACAGAAGCTTGGGGCATTTTTCCATGTGTTAGGGAAATGGCTGGGTTTAAATGCTTTGTTAAATATACTCCATAATATTGAGTCCAGGATGTTTTCCCAGGTTAACACTAGAAAAGATCCAGAGTATTTGTGCTGCTGCTTCATGGAGAAAGTCAAATCCATAATACCATTCCTCCCTGCCAACAGGTTTTAGCCCTTCCTTTTGTTTTTCTTAGAAATCAGGACAATTTTGGGTGGGACGTGCAGTGCACCTATAGCTTTTCTTTTAAAAGTCATTGGGAACTTAAGTCTCAAGAAAAATAAGAAAAAATAAATCTGAAAATCTCAAACTAGTAACAAAGGAGAATTGTCAAAGTAGACTTTCAAGTAATATTTGGTGTATCAAAATTAAATACATTAAGCTTTAATCTAGAGCCAAGGAAATTCAGAAAAATCAGCCAGTATAATTCCCATGAAATATATTTGGTGTTAAGGTACACTTTAAAAAAAAAAAAGCTGCCTAAAGTTTATCTAAGCCAGTTTCCAGTTACTGTGTTTCAGAGCTGCTACAGATAAGAATCTCCTTGCTTTGAAACACAATGGAAAATTAAACCTTGCACAAACTAATTAGGAAAAAAAACTAGACCTACAGACTACCTAAATTGTCAAAGCGTCTTCCGGTCAAAGAGCACACCCAGCACTGTCCCTCTGCTCTTAGTCCTTTCATCTTTCAACTTCAGCACATTTTCCAAAATGAGTAACAGTTCAGTGTCTCTCTTCCTGTGTACTGGGACAGGTTATGGCTACGAGTGTTCTCCAGAATGAGGCAGTCTGCAGCACAACAGAGACCTAACAGCTCCCGTTTGGAGAGGTGATTTGGAGCCCCCAGTACAAGAGGGACGTGGAGCTGCTGGAGCCTGTCCAGAGAAGGGCCACCAGAATGATCCGAGGGCTGGAGCAGCTCTGCTGTGAGGACAGACTGAGAGAGTTGGGGCTGTTCAGTCTGGAGAGGAGAAGGCTCCAAGGTGACCTTATTGTGGCCTTCCAGTATCTTAGGGGGGCCTACAAGAAAGCTGGGGAGGGACTTTTTAGGATATCAAGTAACAACAGGACGAGGGGGAATGGGGCAAAGCTGGCAGTGGGCAGATTCAGGCTGGATGTGAGGAAGAAGTTCTTCCCCATGAGAGTGGTGAGACCCTGGCATGGGTTGCCCAGGGAGGTGGTTGAGGCCCCCTCCCTGGGGGTCTTTAAGGCCAGGCTGGAGGAGGCTCTGGGCAGCCTGATCTAGTGGGAGGTGTCCCTGCTCATGGCAGAGGGGTTGGAACTGGGGGATCCTTGTGGTCCCTTCCAGCCCTGACAGATCCTGATCTGTTTTAGCAGAGGACTTTAGAGCCCTAATGGCTCAATGGTTGGACTTGATGATCTTGAAGGTCCCTTCCAACCTAAAGGATTCTATGATTCATGGTTCTGTCCTCATCCTGGGTTGTGTGGCAGCAGGTCAAAGTCAGTTTGTATGGAGGTATTCACATGATCACAGCCCAAGGGGGAAATATAGTGGACTTCTGAAAGGGAACTACACCAGGTACCATGATTAACACGTGTAAAAAGCCTTCATTTTTTACATAACCTGACTCTAAGCTGAGGTTTCTTGCTTATTAAGGCTTACCTCAATACTAATACTGTCCATGTGAAACACTAGGAGATAATGCATTTGATTCTATTCACTTCTGCACACTTCATGAGAATATGCTATTTGCATTTAGCTCAGCTGGTGCTTACCAGGATCATATGTAACCTCTCTAAATGTGCTCCTTTCAAAAATTCAATGCTGTTCATGCTGCACCCAGCAGCATGTGAGATAGGAAATTTAGCTACCTGATCAAGAGCATAGATTTCTAACATGGAAATCGTGACTGCCAGCTCAGACAAACACAGAGTTGAACTGATCAAACAAACACAGGGCTGAAGGAGAAGATTAATTTCTGACTTGCAGCTTTCCCAAAGCCTTCCAGGGAGCTCTGCAGCTCTGAGCAGCACCTCTGCAGCCAGGCCACCGAGGTGCAGGGCATGGGGTAGGAGGGTGGATATCTGCTGCTCACCCCCACACCCCTCACCTGCTCGAGGATGCACGAGGCTATCCAAAAAAACCCAGGAAGATTAATTTTCTCCTTAACTTTACAAAGAGCTGTTGCTAGTCTTTATTTATTGAAATAAAAGTCTCTGCATGTCCTTGCAAGGATCTCAAAAGTTCTTGACTATTTCTTCATGAAGCCTCAAAAGCATGAGTAAAACACTACAACCTGGTGTCTTCCCAAGACTTTCATGCCTATTTCATTAATAAAGTGGTAAGATTTACCTCCACCTGACAGACATAACAGCAGAATACAGTGCAAAGCCTGCAGCAGTAGGTATTGTACAGCTGGCCAGAACTCCCAGCTGCAAAGCACAGCCTCCCGGTGATGTGGGCAGTGTAACCTGCCTCCCAAATCAAAAAGTCTTGTAGTAAGCCAAAGCACACCCCTAATTTTCTTTGAGACTTTGTAGCCCCTTCACTTCCTCATTGCAGGTGCATCCCTCCCCATGTTGCTCTGCTCCACACCTTCCTCCCTACTCTGCCACAGCCCTTGAGCCCAGTACAGGAGACACTGGGGAGCAGTTGCTACACAGGACAGCTTCAGGAATCAGAGATGCCAACAGCAAGCATCACCCATCCAGAAGCCTGCAAGGCAGGACAGAAGACAGAATTGCTCAACAGAGAAGGCACTATACATGGCAGCCAGGGTGCAGGCAGTGAACTGGGAATCATAGAAGGCTTAGGTTGGAAGTGACTCTAGAGACCATCTAATCCAACCTCCCTGCCACGGGCAGGGATGCCTCTCAACCAGACCATGTTGCTCAAGTGCTCATCCAACCTGGCCTCGAACACCTCCAGGGAGGGACATCCACAGCTTCCCTGGGCAATCTATCCCAGAGTCTCACCACCCTTGTACTGAAGAACTTCCTCCTTAGATCTAGCCTAAAACTACTCTCCCAGTTTAAAACCATTTCCCCTTTTCCTGTCACTGGACACTCTTGTGAAAAGTCCCTCTCCAGACTTCCTGGAGGTTCCCTTCAGACATTGGAAGGCAGTCATAAGGTTCCTCCACAATCTTTGCTTCTCCAGGCTGAACAACCCCAGTGCCCTCAGCCTGTCCTCATAGCAGAGATGCTCCAGCCCCTGGATCATCTTTGTGGCCTCCTCTGGATTCATTCCAGCAGATCTATGTCCCTTTTATGGTGGGGACACCAGAACTGGATGCAGTATTCAAGGTGGGGTCTCACAAGAGCAGAGTAAATGGGGAGAATCACCTCTCTTGATGTGCTGGCCACACTCCTCTGGATTCATCCCAGGATATGGTTGGCCTTCTGAGCTGCATGAGTGCACTGCTGGCTTATATGGAGCTTCTTGTCAATCAACACCCCCAAGTCCTTCTCTCCAGAGCTACTCCCAACCAGCTCTGTACCCAGTTTGTAATTGTGCCTGGGATTGGCCTGACCCAGCTGCAGGGAATGAGCTGAGAAATGTGGAGAGGGCTTTGAAGCTGAGGCTCTTGCCCCTGACATTGCAGCTATGGATACGTCTGACCCTGTACCACAATGATCCAGACCCTGCCCAACAGACTGCCCCCAGAGCTGCTTCACCCCCCTGGGCTCCTTCCTGAGCCTGCTGCACCCCAGGGCTGCCCCACTCAGCTCATGGGGGCTGGCATGGGCTGGGGAGGCTCTGCCTGGCCTCTTCATTCCCCAGTGCCCCATCTGGCTCCCCAGCTCACTGCTGGGGTAACACTGTACAGTGCCAGGGTGCTGGGGACCAAACCAAGGGCCCCAGGGAAGGTGATGGTGAAGGGTTTTGTCCTGGTGGGAGCACAAAGCCACTCAAAAAGTGCAGTGGGACAAGGAAAGATGCCAAGGTCACTGCGAGACACACAGAGGAGCAGGAACATTTATGGTGTGACCTGGAAAGGCTGGCAAAATCAGGAACCCAAACACAGTGTGTAGTCAGACTGGTATCTCTCTTTCCACAAAGAATAGTGCAGGAACATCTTATTCAGCATCCTGCTAAGAAAAGTTTCCTGATACTTTTTTTTTAGAGCTTAGCATTAAATCGTACTTAACTGGAAGGAGCAGGCTTTGTACCTCACAGCTTTTAGCATTCAAGAAACAGAGCACATTAACCCCTCATCAATACTTAAAAGGCAGAATTTGGCTGCAGAAAGCTGCTGGAAAGGACACAGACAAAAGGAACGTGTTAGCAGTAGATCAGCTAGCAAACTGATACAGCCACCAACAGCTTCCTTATAGTAGTTTCCTTGTTACTGGATATTTGTAGAAAGGCATGCACATTCGTTGTATAATAGGTCTGGAAACACTATTTTAACCCC